CTTATTGGTGGCTGTGGAGGGGGGAGGGGGGTTGGGATAGGGGCAGCAGGGAAGAAGGGTCAGGGCAGCATAGCTGCCTGGGGGAAGATAGGGAAGGGAACTGGCCGGTGGAAGCAGGGCTGACTGGGGGAGATCGCGGGGCTGGCTGGGGAACTGGCCGGCAGAAGCAGGGCTGGCTGGGGGGCAGGAGCAGTAGGGCTGGGCCCAGGGGAGACTGCAGGGGGAGCAGGGCTTGCCAGGAGAAATCAGGAGAGAATCAGCTGGCAGGGACAGCGGGGCTGGCTGGGGAGGGGAGGGAACATGGACACAATCGGCCAGCGGTGAGCAGGACAGTTCAGGGTGCACGCAGATCCTAAATAAAAATGTAAAAGCAGTGCCTTTTAAATATCCCCACTGCTGACAGTGAGGTTTAAAGGCACTACAATGTGTCAGAATGGAGAGAACCTGGTGCATTCACCATCCGGAATGAGAATATGGATAAAAAAATTCCAAAGATGGTATCAGCTTTCTGAAAATAAATGAGCCCCTTTTCAATACACGATGCGGTGGGGCAGGGTTTTATTGGATTACAGTCCATTTTTCCAATCCATATTCCCTTAACTTGCTGGTAAGAATATTGTGGGTGGCCATATCAAAAGCTTTGCTAAAGCTGGCACTGGGAGGACCAAAACCACCCTATTTGCATATTTGTAATTTGATTAATGAATATGCAAATATGCAAATGAATTACCAGTCCTCTGAAAGCTCGTGAATGGATTTACTGGTCCCCGTGTCAAAAGGTTTGGGAATCCCTGTTATAAAACATGCGTGGATTAAATTTATGTAATCTGCTCTGGATAATTTTTCTTCACTATATAGCTATTTGTGATATTTCCAACGCAACTGAGTTGTGGTGTCAGAAGAATGAGAATTTAGTTCATAAGCAACATGAACAAAAGAGTGACATTTAACTCTTCTTATTAAAAATTAAAAATACATGGGAAGAAAAATGCAGAAAATATGACCAATCAGCAGATTTCTTCCATCTGAAATACAGGCAGTCCCCGACTTATGCTGGATCCGCATTTACGAACAGGGCTTTTCTCGCCGCGGAGCTTACAGGCAGCGGGTCACCACCCGTGTCCTCCGGGGCGAGAAAAGCTTCTCCCGGTCTCCCTGGTCTGCTGGGGGGATCCAGCGGCTTTGCTGGACCCCCCCAGCAGACCAGGGGGACAGGAGCAAAGCTGCGGAGCACGCCCACAGCGGGACAGCCTGGGCGCGCCTGGGCTGTCCCGCTGCGGGCGTGCTCCGCGGCTTTGCTCCCCGTCTCCCTGGTCAGCCTGGGGCAGAGCAGCTGGGGTGCTGCTGAGTTATGAGGGACAGAAAAGAGGAAAAGAAGAAATCGAGAACACTAAGCAATCTGTATTCTCTGCCAGGTACAGTGTAAAACAGATTGGTCTAATTATTGTTCTTTAAAAGAGCTCTTTTTGGGTTTTGAGCCTGTCAAAAAACATTTGTCTTTTTTTCTAAGACAAAAAGAAATATTATTGGCCAAACTAATCTTCAGTTTAGCAGTGCTAGTTTTCTGCCGCAGGATATCAGTGTGGACAGAGTTTAGAACTGAATATTAAATGAGATACTAGTATAAAAGTTGTCAGTTATTTGAGGATATTAATTAACTGGAGCTGCATCAGTTTAGCAGAGGACAGAAATTGGCCTTAAAAATTGCTAATTAGGTTACTTAATATAATGGAAATATTGTTACTTTCAATGAAAAAGGAACTGGATAGCCACAGACAAGGGCACAATAAATTAATGGGCAAGGACTGCTATATATATTACAGAAAAATATACAGGCAGTCCCCGGGTTACGTACAAGATAGGGACTGTAGGTTTGTTCTTAAGTTGAATCTGTATGTAAGTCAGAACTGGCGTCCAGATTCAGCTGCTGTTGAAACTGATCAGTTTCAGCAACGGCTGACGCCAGTTCAGACTTACATACAGATTCAACTTAAGAACAAACCTACAGTCCCTATCTTGTACGTAACCCGGGGACTGCCTGTATATTTTTCTGTAATATATATAGCAGTCCTTGCCCATTAATTTATTGTGCCCTTGTCTGTGGCTATCCAGTTCCTTTTTCATTGAAAGTAACAATATTTCCATTATATTAAGTAACCTAATTAGCAATTTTTAAGGCCAATTTCTGTCCTCTGCTAAACTGATGCAGCTCCAGTTAATTAATATCCTCAAATAACTGACAACTTTTATACTAGTATCTCATTTAATATTCAGTTCTAAACTCTGTCCACACTGATATCCTGCGGCAGAAAACTAGCACTGCTAAACTGAAGATTAGTTTGGCCAATAATATTTCTTTTTGTCTTAGAAAAAAAGACAAATGTTTTTTGACAGGCTCAAAACCCAAAAAGAGCTCTTTTAAAGAACAATAATTAGACCAATCTGTTTTACACTGTACCTGGCAGAGAATACAGATTGCTTAGTGTTCTCGATTTCTTCTTTTCCTCTTTTCTGTCCCTCATACCCATCACATTTCCCTTCTCCCTAAATTTTAAGTGCTCCCAGCTTCTCCAAAAGGCTTTACTCTCTAGAAGTTAGTGACCTGCAAGTTCCATGCAGCTCTAACCCACAACTCCTAGTGGCAGCTTTTCCGGTCAGAAATTAATAAATTGCAAAGGAGCTGATTTCAGTGCAACAGGGGACATGGACTATCAACCTACTGATGTATCAGTGGCTGTGCAGTTCTGGAATAGCTCTTCTACTGTATTTACTATACAAAATGAACATAACAGTTTGTTGGTTTAGTGGCCTAATGACTGTGTGCACACTGCTGTGGAATCAGTTTGAATTTAAGGCCTTAAGATCAGCTCCTTGTTATTCCTAGGTGTGGAATTTTATGGGGGCAGATTGTACAGCATGAGGTAAGGGTGGCTGAGAAGTGCTTTCCAACACTTGAGTGACTGCCTTTTAGCCAGCTCAGGAGCAAGGCTCATAAGATCCAGAAAGAAATGCATCCAAGGCCTAGACCAGAAATAAAGATCAATATAGCATGAAGAATTCTGAGTGTAGAGGCAATAAAGTGGACATACAAGGTGGGAGATAGTGTAGTGGGCATAGCCAATGAAAAAAAGCAAAAACATTCCATCATAGCAGACACTTGAACTGGGACCCTCTACTTGATTCACCCATAGACAAACCTATACTACCTTTTGGAAGAATTCTTTCATCGACCTAGCTGCATGTACTGTGATGGTTAGGTTAGCCTAACAATATCCCACACAACATGAATTTTTTCATAGCCCTGAATAAGTTTTAGATGAAGGCCAGGCCTGAGACAAGATGGAGCAAGTAAACATGACAAACAAAGAAAGGAGGGCAGGACAAGAATTAAAAAACTAAGATCACACAACTGTGTAAGTTGCCTGCTGTAAATTTGACATTGCCAAGAGTTATAGGGATTTTTGGATACAAGAGAAGAGTAGGTTTCTTCCTGTGCCCAACTTTCTTCCCAACTCTTTAATCTTGCCAGCACATGTGAAACTTGTTTTTAGTAGCCGCAGTAATCACTGTATAAAGAAAATGTATATTGTACCTTCTGATATGGGGTTGGCTGGGGGGAGTCCGAGGACTCCGTCCTCTCTGATTGACAGCCTGGACCATCAGTCTTCCAGTACAGCTTATTCTGCCCTGTTACCATTATTGAGGTGAAAAAAAGAGAAAGTATTATATTAAAAATAAACTATTTTAAGAGATTAACATATTGATTTAGTGTTTTGAGGAAATGTAATTAATGCACAGTGCCTGAAGTTCACTTGTTAGTGCCAACTTTTACTGATGCTCTGTGTTTCAAGATCTTTTCTTCCATAACAAGACTGTTTCAATCAGAATTAATTAACATACCAACTGCCAATAGTATTTTCCCTGTTTTTACAGCAACAATCCAACTCTGAATGCATGGAAGCAACTCTGTGGTTATAAAAAAATCATCAAAAGAAGTTTTGAGGTTTACTTGATTGTAGCCTACAAGTTTATCCTTTCAAAAGGGGACAATTTTTACATTATCTGGAGCATAGATAATACGGACAGCAGTGAGGTATCTATTGCCTGTAAAATAAAGTATTTAGGCAAATTGCTGTTGTAATGAACCCCCCCCCCGCCCCCAATGCTTTATGAAATGGCCTTATGGACACAAATGTACATAACTCAACAATGCTTTCGACAACTTTCTTCATGTAAACTATCAGTCTTAAACAAATCCAGAAGATTAAGACATTATCTTATTTTGGTGCATGTGTCATTTTTGTATGTAAAATTAGACATATGGAGAATGAAATGTTTTATTGTTTTAAATGAGTGAATGAAAGCCATCAAGAGTGTTTCCAATGCTGGGATCCCTCAATGTTTGGGCAAGCATTTGTAAATAGCTTTTGTCCTTAAGTCTTAGCAGTTGTTGGTCTTAGGAAGATACATGACCTCCCTAACCTGTAGGGACTGGCCAGGTAACTTCCCTTGCAAAAAGGGAAATCCTTAAAACTATGGGAAGCTTAGCAGGTCTTTCTCTTTGGGCTGCCTAGACACACCTGAGGGGAGGAACCATAGACATCCCAGGATGGAGAAACAGCCCCGGTATGGAAGGCTTAGCTGAAAAAGAAGCAGTTTTAGGGTGAGTTTATAATAAGTTTGTACAGTAAATTTCCGATAATCCGGCACCTTTAGGACCCAGGGGGTGCTGGATTATCAAATATGCTGGACTATCGGAAGGGGGGGCTATGAGGGGTCTGGAGTGGGGTAGCGGGGATGCCACCCCAGACCCCTCAGAGCCCCCCTTCCAATAGTCCGGCTCTGCCCCAGGCCTCCCTGACTCAGCCGCTG